TCTACATGCATCTGACCCTATACCAGCATCAACTTCAAAATGGATAGGATCAATTCAGAAGCCATCTACAGAAATATGTGGGGGTTGCTCAGGTGAAATGATTGAGCATGTATCCTATGCAGAGGTTCCAAAGATTATCATCCTGGAGTACCCATACTGTAATACTGAAACTAGTCACAAGGTAAAGTTTGTAGTAAATGGAGAAGAAGTTTTACTGAGCCTGAGAGGGATCATATACCATGGGGATAATCATTTCACCTCTAGAGTTTTTTCATATGAAGGTAAAGTTTGGTTCCATAATGGGATAACCACCAAAAATAAGTGTATAGAAGATGGGCAGCTAGATGATAAAAGCAATAATGATCTTAGATACTATCAAGATCAGGAACTTGTTTTAGCTGTATATTCTCAACTTTAAATTAGAACTTTGTCTTGATAAATTTAACATTAAAATAGAATTCTAGATTAATATCTTTATAACATTGAATGCAAGCCACATTGATTTGAAGCAAATGATTATAAAGAATTGTAAATAAATGTCAAATGATTTTGCAATTTTTTAGACATTGTTACTGTAACATTATTCACAATCTCTTGGTTTACATTAATGTGGCTTGCATCCATTGTTGATGAAAATGTTAAAATATGCCTTTTTAAAAAAAAACTTACTCTACATATTTTTCAGCATGGGAGGTCCATGGGAAGGACTCATACATGCCATGCACAGCACTGGCCCACACCCACAAGTGATATTTAGCTTGGCTTCCTGCTTAACAATTTTATACAGAAATACCAGTGGGTCTGAAGCTTCTGAAGAGGAAGCCATAGAGTATATATCTTCCTTGGTTCATGTACGTTCATGAATCATATATACAGATCTCCGGAACCTACACCAAGCAAGAAGAAGAAGTCGAAAGCCACTTCGGTAAAGGCTGAAACGTAAGTGTTTGTTTCAACAATTGCCATATGCACTATGAGTTGACACGTGTTAAGTGTTGGTAAAAAAAGGACCCGTAGATCGGCTCAGGATTCCGATGAGGATCCATTTGTAGTCAAGTCTCCTGCTAAAAAAATGCGCAAAACTCCCAAAGGAAAACGCTCCAAGTCCTCTAGCAAGGTCTCATCCAAGAAGACGGACATATCTGACAGGTGGGTCTACAATCACATGGAGTTAACTTCATCTTTTGCTTATTTTTATTCAGCTCTTCTCGTGGGAGCTCTGATGAGTGTGTCTTTCATCGAGGGTAAATTTTGACAAAGGCGCTAAACTTTTCTGTCCAGAATGGATGTTGAACTTGATTCATCTCCCTTGTCCAAAAAGTAAGTTCCTTTTATTAAGTTATTTATTATTGCATTGCTGAGCTATCCTTCGGAATTCCTGTGCAGGAGCGTACCCTATGGGAAAGAATTTGACAAGTCAATGTGAGTGACCAGTCAATGGCATTCCAGCTTTCATTAAAGCATTTGTAGTGCAAAAGCAAAGAAGATGCAAGTCGACAACAAGAAGGCAATGCGTAAACTTGGAAAGGAAATTGCAGATGATGAAGCAGAGATTGAGAAGTACGAAGAAAGTGGCAAGGAGGGGTCTGACGGTGATGACGATGATCTCCCTTCTGAAGGAAAAAAGAAGCATATCAAGCAAGTCTAATATTTCTTTTGTTTGAACAAAAATGCTGATACACCACGTCAGA